AACTTACCAAAAACCACTTGACAGCTCGTGCACTCGACGGCCTTTCGATCCAAATGCAAAATGGCGGCCTGAAAATCTCGGGCACGCGCAGAGAGCAAAATTTCGACATTTTGGGTTGAAAAGTCATGCCCCACTTACGACTTCTACTTTTCTCTCTTTCTCCTGCCCTTTTTTTCCCCTCTCCTTGCCTGAAGTTTCTCCTCACTTGCTGGAAATTGAGTAGGCTTCATTTTGGTGTAGAGATTTTTCAGAAACTACTCATTATTTTCAAAGCACATGCTCGGAAAGGTAGGTGGGTAGTGAAACACGATTTTCGTGCAGATTTTCAGGTCAAAGTGACACGGTTTTTTGGCTATTTCTCCAATCTCCTTCACTCAATTACGCTCATTCTGGTATCGTCTGTAAGATATTTTCAACCTGTTCAAGTAGGTGCTCAAATTCGTGCTCCAGGGTTAAAAGTGATGACGTCACAGGGCGTAGAAAGGGTGTGGGTCCCCATGGGCGCATACGGGCACACTGGACGTCAATGGGTTAAAGTAGTGGTGACCCTAGCACCCCTTGTGATGTCTGAGAACAACGCTACCTACCGTGTACCTACATAAGCTTGTGCCTAACCACATAGCAAAGTTGGTCATGGATGAAACACCAGAGACAGGGGGTTCAGCAAAATATAGGGATTTTATGACCCTTTCTTTTAAACCAAACAAGCCCTAAAATATATAGCCAAACAAAAAAATTTCCTACCTTCAATTCCAAGTTTTCATCCTCAAACTTTTCACCATAGATAGATTCTCCACCAGTTCCATCACCGTGGGTGAAATCTCCTCCCTGTACCATGAAACCTTTAATAACTAAAACCAGAAAACAAAGATGTCAAAAAGGCAACAGCTTCCCAATATTCTAATTAGCTGTATTTTCTAAAGCATGGTGCAAATAAAGATCAAATAGTTAGTAAAGATGAAAATAAACAATTTTTAAAAATCGAGTTTCCAGATGGGATTCGAACCCACGACCCTCCGTGATCTAGTCGGATGCTCTAACCACTGAGCTACAGGAGACTCTATGGTGAGCAAGGGTCAATTAGTGGGTATTGACTGGAACCGCATCACACGGCTACACAGCCAAACATCAGCTAGCGCATAGAAGCTCACTAACAGCATCACGCTGTCACATTAAAGCATCACATGCATTAATTGGTGGACTGGTAACTTATACCTAACAAAAGATTGTTTGTAATGATTAATCAACTAGTTAGGACAACATATAAAACTAGGCCATTCCAAAGAACTCACAGCCTCATTTTCACAACAAGGCCTCATGCTCAACCATTCTTGTAAAATTAGTTAAATTTGCATATGAATGAAAATGTATTATCATATGAAAGGAAAAGCACCAGGACTTTCTTGGAAAAAGAGACTAGAGGTAATTCGAAAATGAGCTATTACTTACTTCTGTGAAAGGTGCAGCCTTTGTAATGAAGTGGTTTCCCAGATTTAGATGCATTTCCTTTGTCTCCAACACATAAAGCCCGAAAGTTGTCGACAGTCTTGGGGCATTTGTCAGCAAATAATTCAAAGACTATTCTACCCACTGTTAAATGACAAAGATAAAAAGTGGCATGATCACAAACTCAAATGCTGGAGCCCAGTATGTGTAAAGAAGTACTCAATACTACTACCATGGATGCTTATTCTTTGGTTTCCCTTTATATTAACTTTGACAATTTGGGATTTTTTAACAGACACCCTCCCCCCCCTGAAATGTTTTGATGACCTCCTGCAGGGTGGAGCAGATTGAATCTAGAAATAAATTTCAAAGTACCATAAGTGCAAGTTTCTGCATGGCAACCTGCATTTTGACACAGATCGGACATTGAATCATTTGACACTTGAATCGATAAGAAATAGTTAATAAATGACGATGACATAACATGCAGCAAGTTTCTAAAAAAATTAAAAATTATCTATTTTAGTCTAAAAAGTTCTTGAACACCCTAAAGACCTTATTTCCAGACTACGTCTAAATGCACAGCCATCATTTAATTAGCACTCCACCAATCAATTTTGAGCAAAGATGAAGGAAACTAACTTGCACATGGTGTAACTTCGTTTTTAATCATAGCTTCGGAAAGACAAAATTTGTTGCCTTACCTCTCTCGTCACCGATAGAAAGGTCAAAGAAACATCTTGGGTTTTCCTTTTCTGACATTTTTGCAGAGAATTTTGCAGAAAAATCTTGGGGCCGGATTCAAATATGGTTTGACAAGGAACTCCGCACACGAGTACAGACAAAAAAAATTTGTACTATCACATGTGTTGTGTCACATGGTACCAAAGAGAAACCGCTGAATCAACTGATTGTCCACGGGACAATATATGGATGTTACATAAACCACCATTCGGTAACAAACAAAATGGCGTCTGGGAAACTCTTTTGAACGGTGTAAAATTGCATCAAAAGTCATGTCCAATAAGGTTAAGTCAGGGATCTTCATCGGGGGATTTGTAGCATTCACTCTTGCCGCGTTGTATCCTGCTGTGATCTACCCAAAATTACACCCTGAAGTTTTCCGTAAGTAGTTTAAAATTAAGGTTGTATAAAATGAAAATATGCAAATTTTAGAATTCCAAGGCCGCTAAAGTTCCAAGGAAAGTGTTGATGTGTAAGGTTGCTTGTATATCAGAAGTCTTTAGTAGCCAATCAACTTGGTCCCTGATCGAAAAAAGAACTTATAATTGCAATGTTCCATTGTCATGGTTGCTGCAAGTCATGAACAGGAAAATGTCAGAAAAATAAATCTCTTCATGATCAAGGGTCAGAGAATCTCACTCTGAGTCATGAAAATTTTTATAATATTATTGCAATGAAGTCTGTGAAAAGGGAAATTTCAAGTAAATTTGAATTCGTTCATTTTGTCAGGGTCCTCTTTATGATGAAAGATTGTGACACTTTCCTTTTTGAGATTTTATGTGAAATTGTGAATTCAATTGCACTGATCAGAAAAGTTTTACGTTTTCCAAGTAAATGTCAGGGAATTTCAAAAACATATGACTGTGGCAACCATAGCTGTTTTTCTATTGTACTTTTGTAGAGCAAATTCAGAATGAAACGAGAAGAGATATAAAACAAGAAGAGATTCAACCAGGAAGTAAGTCATAATTAGCTGTGGAAATATAATCCTGAAAACCAATTGCCACATGTGTGATAAGCTAGTACCAG